TATTCTATTCTATTCTATTCTATTCTATTCTATTCTATTCTATTCTATTCTATTTTTCCTTTATCCATGCAGTCTAACATTTTTCCACCACAGCCAAGAGCTAGGGCAGTGCTCCTAGGTGAACTACCAGCTGCTAAAGACACCGTACAGTATCTAAAAACACATTGACACTGTGTTTTGGGTAGAAATGTATGAGGAAAGACAAATTCAGGAACAATTTGGGGATGTTTTCTTCACGATCTCATCATGGATAAGACAATATGTGCACCTCCAGCAACATTTTGCTAATTCTCCAGAGAGTCATCGTGGTATTTTATACTAGATAGAAGATGTCCTGTAAGTGAGTGGCTGCTCTGGTTTCCTGAGAAGTTAACCCCAATCAATCAGGTGGATGTGCCATGAGGAAGAGAAGGTCAAAGCAAATCAAAGAAGAACAAAAAAGATGGACATCAGCCTCCACAGAGAGATGTTTTTGTGAAGAAAAAAGAAGAAAAAAAAGTGTAGGCAACCAGACATTTGAGAAATAAACTTGTTGTTAGAGAGCAAACTGAAAACAGATTTAAGTTGGCAATTGCTCTCAAAGGTACCTCCTACTTGTGACCCTGTCACTCGCTGGGAAGGAAGCCACACCAGCAAGTTCTCCATGCAGTCATTAGAGGGAAGTGGCAATACTGCATTTTTCTATTGCAGCTTTGCCGCTCACCAGCTCTCACAGAAGGCACAATTCTGTTCTAGACTTCAGGAGAACACGAGATAGCACCTTTGCCACCACGGCCTCCGTCGCAGCGCGGCCATCGCCCGCGACGGCGCTGCTGGGCTGCGCTTTTACAGACCTTGTGTGTGTGCGCGAGTGAGGTGCTTTGCTAGGACACATCGGCTTCAGCTAAAAAGTCAATCTTTTATTTTTGTAGCCCCTGAGAATTTAATACACAGACGGAGCTACAGGCTGAACCACAAGCGCTCTGCCCATTCCCCATTCTTTTTAAAGGTGACCTACAGGGTATTTCTGACTTTGCACTGGCTGTGGCTTCCGCAAGAGCTCAACATGCAAAACCAGCAGCCCCCGCTGGCATCCTGCGAACTCGGGAGCCTTTCACCAGGGCTCATTTAGAACCATCTTACTCACCTTGAAAAAGGCTTTAGATATGAGTGGAGGAGGCATCCCTAAAGGATTTCTAGTTGTGGCCTCCTTCTCAAAATACAGATCCCACTCTCTTGTGACTGGAGAATTAGCAAAACAGTGATGCTTCAAGAATAAACAGTTGTGAAGCACTCTGAGAGGGCAGGGATTTTATCAAGGTTGTCATTTTGTTTGTTTGCATGGTCTTCTCTTTTTTTTTTTTTTATTCTTCCTGAGTCCCTGTTTAACAGCCACAGCTAAATAAAAGCTCCCTGGATTGTTCGGGGCCCTGGGCAGACAGAAGGTGAGGACCCTGGGGACGAAATGGGGGACAGTGCTCCAGCCTCAGGACATCCTTCTTCATGCAGGCTGCTCAGGAGGGCTGTGTCATCTACTGCCTTTGTTCCTCTTTGCTGCGTGCAAACGTCGCTCTTGTTTTGCAGTTACATAAACTAAGGTCCAGACAGATCAACGCCTGGCCTGAGGGTCCGGAGGTCTGACTGCAGGTGTCTGTCTAGAAACAGCGGACAGAAATATTACTGCTGGCACCAGAACCTTTGCACGGGCTCAGGGTGACATCCAGAGGGGTTTGTGTGCATAGGCCCCAGTGAGAGGGTCCCAAGCCAGCTCCAAGGTCAGCACCTCTGCCCCAAACGCTGCTGCATCTCTGGCTTGCAGAGCAGCCTCCCGCTGGGTGCTCTCGGCAGCCTGTCAGCGAGCGAGCTGCTCCCGGGTCCCTCCCTGTTTGCTCTCTAGTTGATCAAAAAAGCGACTTGAACCCAAGCCACGTGCCAGCCCATTCTCCTTAAACTAAACTAAACTAAAAAAAAAAATCATTAAATGATTTTTTAGTGCTAAGGCAGGGTCTCTGGCTAGTGGCATTTCACAGCACACATCTAGCTTCTCTAACTACAGGGCTCTCTCTTCCCCTTGCACTCTAACAGCCAAGGACTAAAAAGCATCCTGCAGGCAGCAGGAGCCCCTCAGCACGGGAGGCGTCGTGGCATTCCCCCTCCTTCACCTGCAGAGGAAGCCCACCCAAATCCTCCCTCTGGACGACCCGGATCCCTGGAAGTGCTGCTCAGAGCACAGGGAAGAAAAACACCTCTCGCGGGCTGGTGTCCAGCGGAAGGATGCTGGTCTAAAATGAACTAGGAGAAGGAGTGCAGAAGTTTTCATTGTATAAATTGGGTGAAAATAGCAGGAAGCATTCCCATCTGTCCTGTCTCATTCCCTCCGCGGCACAGAAAAGGATGTTCTTTGCTTTTAACATTGTGGCAGACAGGACAGCAGCTGGAACCTGCCTCCAACTCACTGATGTGAAGGGCTTGTGCTCAAATTAAATGATTGTTTATTGTTTCTTTAAAAAAAAAAGGGTGAAAAACTCAACAGTAAGATTAAAAAAAAGAAAAAGTGAGATTAGGAAATGTACAAAATTCCACCAGGCATGGTTTTCTTTGCTCTTTCAAGTAACACTTGAATTCAATATTTGCAAGGAAAAGTGAGAGAACAAATAAATAAATAAATAAATAAAACTGTTTGCAGAGTTTCTATAAGGATAAAGAGGCAATGCCCACAATACGTGAGTATTTAACCTACACCTTTCGGGACAGTTCTGTCTAATCCACTCCTGGGTAAAGCAGAGTTAAGAGTACTACTCACCATTTAAAATGATCGCGAACATTACCTTGATTATTCACTAGTGGCATTGCAGGTCTGGCAAGCAAGCTTGAGGGATCTAAAAGCAGACGAGAAGAGCTGAGACAGGTTTCATCCTCTCTGTCATCTGCCCGCATCATCTTCCCATAGTAAGTTTAGAAAGGAAGAGCAAAAAAAAACAATAGGGAGACTCTCTCCCATAGGGCTTCAAACTGACCAGGTCCCCATCACTCCACAGCTTCCTCTTAAATATCTGTCTTCCCACACTGACCTCTCCGGTGAATCCGGCAGCTTCCTGCTGTTCTCCGTCACCGGTTTCCCGCACCCTTCCCACCAGCGGTCGGAGATGGCCGCCCCCCCAAGCCAAAGGTGCTGGTACAGAGGAGCATGACGTAGGGATTAGTTTGGAGCAGCCAAAACCAAAATTCCCGGCAGAAATCACCCAGATGCACCGCTTACCTCGCCTGGCAGCGGCCGCGTCCTCCCTCCTGCTCGGGACGCTGCCATTAGCCGCGCGAGGCCGTCCCCGAATCGCTGGCATTTTTTTCTCGAGAGCTATCATTTAATGGCAGGAAAATCCTCCGTATCAGGGGCGGATTAGCCGAAATGGAAGAATGTGCCTGTCCCTTAAAGCTCCAAAAGCGAAACACAGATTGCAGGCAGACCAATCTGACACCGCCTCCCCTCTGCCAATCCACTCTCCCCCCAAAACATCAAAAATAAAAAAGCAGCCATGACCTGGACTCCTGCCACGCGAAGGGCATTACTGAAAGTCATTACCCCGGTACCTATTATATAATGGCAGGGGAGGGTGCAGCCTAAATGTGATTATATCGGGCGGCAGGCGCAGGCCTGAGCTCTCCGAAGCGACACGGTGTCAGGCTCCCTCCCCACGCTGAGGCCTGCGTGGCTCCCACACGAGCAGTGCAGGAGAGGCCCTCCTGCCTTCCTTTTCCCCACCGCTTGCCTGTCACTAACAGTGGGATCAGCAACCTTCTTTCTTGCCTTTCTGGCGGGTTCAGAACACGAGGTAGCCAAGGTGCCCAGGCAGTGGCCCAGTGAGAAAGGTACGTGGGCCTCAGGGACGAATTGCCTCGTGGCCAGTCAGTAGCGCCCCAAGGACTAGGCCTATTGCTTGGTTTGCAGTTTCATATAGAGGAAGAGAGAAAGAGAAGACACTACATAGAAATATATATATATAGTTCATATATACACACACTATACAGTATTTTTTTTTATATAACACTATGTATGTGTGCATATAGGCATATAAAATATGCTCATCAAAAACAGCAAGGAAGGACTGCTTTGCACCAAGGCACGAGATCTCTCCCGTGCCTCACCGCATTTCTTCCGTGAGGGACAGGCCACGAAGGACCAGAGTGTACCAGGAAAGAGCTGGTGGCAGCAGCAAAAGGGCAGTTTTCCCCTGAGAGCCCCCAGGGTCCTGAAGTAGCAGGACAGTGTGAGGGGCTATCAGGAAGGGGCCTGAAAAGGAGTTTCTTCTCCTCTCCTTTTTTTTTTTTTTTTTAAATATTGTTTATTTAAAAAAAAGCTCAAATTTAAATACCAGAAGGTAAATAAAAGAGACTTCAATTTATTTTTTAAAAGCAATGCTGGGCTTTAAACCACACCACAGCATTTTTCAGAGCCTGACTCATAACCCGTTAATACTTGGGTTGAAAACACCGCCAGTGGTAAGAGCTGGGAAGGCCGCTGTGGCTGCTGGGCTACAAGCGGACGCTGAAGCCACGTCCCTTGTTCCTGCCACCGTGCACTGTGACCTTATTTAGATTTGTTCCCCCCTCCAGCTCTTCACGGAGCCCCACACGACCCTTTGAAACCTGGGGAAACTCAGGGCAGCCGGAGGGCAACGTAGCAGGGGACCTATGAGCAAGGCTGTACTGCTGTTACTAGGAGAAAAAAAAAAAAAAAAAGGGGGTTTTATATCTGACCACCCACACA